CAGGCTCGCCCGCCGCGCGGCCTCCCGGCCTCGGCCCCTCCTTCGTCCCCGCCCAGCGCCCAGCGTCCCGCGTCTGCGAAGAAGCCGGGGAAAGTGGGCACTGGAAGAGGTGCCGTCCGACCAAGAGGACGCCTGCGCCAGGCCCTCCTGCCCGCCCCTTCTCCTAACTCGGCGCCTGTTGCGCAGGGGCGGACAGACGAGCGTGTCTGTCCTCCAGAGGTGGGACCCCGCGGCTGTCAGCCCCCAGCGGGCACAACTGCACCTCCAGCCGGGGTGGACGCGCACCTGCGCGCTCAAGGCCGCGGCTGTCGCTCTTTTGCTTGGTACAGCAGCTCGCGTGCTCCACGGCTCGTGTCACCTGTCAGACGCGTACTACTCCCATGTGGACAGGCCCTGGCACCGTCTGCGTGCCAGCCCTTCGCCTCCTGTGTTCCAGAAGAGGAGGCATAGTTCCAGATGCTAGCGGAGAGGCACAAACAGACGAATTCTGTGCGGCAGAGCCCGGCAGGAAAAGCCTAAGCAAAGGCCAATCTGGTCACGCTGTCCCCCAACTCATTCTGCAGTGGGAGCGCCTTCCACCCGTGCCTCTCACTCTTCCTCTCCCACCCGGGAGAAACCAAGCCCCAAACACCCTGGGTCCGATTTCTAGCAGTGCACTTTCACCCCAAGCTGTCGAGGACTTCTCAGAATGCTTTCTGTAAGGACTGCAGGCTGTGGCTGAGATAATGCGCGTCCTCCTGTGACTCAGGATTTGTAGAGTGGTTCCTATCTCCGCGGAGGTTCGGGCCCTCTGCGCTCCGCCGGCTCAGGTGGAGCAACCATTTTCATAGCAACTCTTGCAAACGATTCAGAAAAGGGTTAAAGATCCAGAGGAAGTGAGGCAGCTTTGGACTTGTGCTTCCAGTGTGGTTTCTGGTTATTCAAAGGATCAGACGCATTTTCAAAGAACCAAATGAGGTGTTTCCTGCTGATAATACCAAGTACCCCGGTGCACGAAGCCAGCTGTGAGCTTGGGGCAGCAGAAGTCTGCATTGCCCTGGAGGGAGACAGGTGATGCGGGTCGTGCTGGGCTGGAGCTGAGAGCCACTCTGAAGGTTCAGTGGCCTCAGCTTCCTGGTATTATAGGCCGGGTCTTTACCCATGGGAATCGGGAAAAGGGGGAGATAAGAAACTGAAAAGAAAACAACAGGAGAGAAGCTTGTGAATAGGAACGACAGACAAAAGAAATAGGAAGCAGGTGCCACTCAGAGTAGGGCTGTCCTTCCCCACATGTTCTGTACTTTCACAGTCTTCAGAGGTTTCCATGGAGATACATTGGCTCAGTCTGTGGGGAGATGTAGCCGGCAGAGTCTGTCCTTAGAATCAGTGCTGCCCGCATCTCTACCACTTGCTGTCTGGGGGTGGTGAGGAGGTGGGTCGGTGGCCTCCAAGTCCCCTTTCCTCTTGTGACTGTGGCTGAGGAGAAATGACTGTTCCACCTGGTCCCCAAGGATGATTGCTTCCATTGCTCCTAGGAATACCGAGTCATTCCTCCCCTCCCCTCCCTCCTTTTCTCCTTCCTGATTATGATCTCCTTCTTGTCTGCAAGCCTGGCAAAATCAGAGAAACGAACCAGGCTAGCCTGGCTCCCTCCCCAGTGAAATCAGTGAACAGTCAGTCAGATCTCCTGAGCATCTGTTATGCTTGCGACAGGCAGTTTCAGGTACACCACTGCGGGCACCAAATAACGAGCGACTGCTCTCTGCCTGGCATGCTGTCTGCCATTTAACAAACCCCGGTTAGGCCTCACAGCAGCCCTTTGCAGGAACTGGCCTCGTGGGAACTGTCGTGAACCCATGACACAGGGCCAGATTGTGTTGTAAGACTCTAGACTGTGTTCTGCCTTCAGGTTAAGGATTTGCCTGAACTTGGAAAAAAGAAACCAGCCTCTAAGATCTGTCAAGTAGATCCCACCTCGATGTGAAAGACCTGTCAGTGTGACTGCTGACGAACAGTGAGACAAAGGGCCCAACTTGTCCTGTAACCACCAGACTACGGTTTCCTCAGCTCTTGGGGTCATAGGTGAGGGGGTGCACACCGAGGGCACCATACAACCCTCGGTTTAGTCTCAATCAGCGGTTGTGGAACTTTGGCTGAGAAGGCGGGGTTTGGTTTGGTTTTTGCTAAAATTCAGTTTCTTTGGACTCACCACCAGAGATTCTAGTTTAGTTTAGTTGGCTGGGGCAGAATTCAGTAATTTGCACTTCTAACCAATCTCAAGGAATACTGATGCTGCTGGCCCTGGGGTCACCCATCTAAAGCAGAGCTTTTCACACTTCTTAGATTTCAAACCGCAGGATGACTGTGGCATCAGGGAAAGAGATTTGATTTATTTTTCAGTCCCTGGCATAGAGCCCATAAAGCCTTTGTTACATCCTGAGTGACAGGGCGATTGCAGTGTCTTTTGTTCTCACGAGGAGATGCCTGGTGAACCCACAGAGAGCTTCAGGATGGGAGCTAGCCGCCAAAAGCCAAGCCTTGGTTACAGGTCTGGAAATTTCTGTCCCACCTCCAGCCTCCAGGAAGAGGAAAAAAGGCTGGAGATGGAATGAATGACCAAGAGCCAAAGATTTAATCAACCATGGATACATAATGAAATCTTTATTTTCAAAACCCCTGAATGTTGGAGGACTAAGCGCGTCCAATTTGGTGAGCCCTGGAGGTCCTGGGAGGGGAGCACACTTGCAGAAGGCATGGATGCTCTGCACACCCTCATTTTTCATATGCTGCACTCTGCATTTCTTCATTTGCCTGCGCCTGAGTTATATCCTTTACATTAACCCCATCACAGGAAATAAAGCATTTTCCTGGGCTCTGTGAGTCATTCTAGCAAATTGTAGAAGCTGAGAAGGTTGCGGGAACTCCGAAGCAATAGCCGGCCAGAAGTGCAGGAGGCCCAAGACCTGCAGCTGTCCTCTGAATGGGGCGGGCGTGTTACACACACACCTCTCGCTGTGGAGTCTGTGCTAACTCCAGATGGCTGTGTGAGACGTGAACTGTTGCACTTCCAGGGGGTGTCAGAGAAATGGTGTTGCAAACGATGCCACGTACTTCACAGATGATGGACTATACAAACCCAAGAAATGCGAAAGCCATCTGTCATGGTTTGGGTCTAGATGTCGCCCAAAGCCTCATGCAGTTTTAGATGAGCATTTTTCCGAGGCAGCTGAATCTAGAGTTTGCGACTGATTCGTAGTGGAGTGCTGGGATTAAGGGTAAGTGACTGCTGGATGAGTCCACTGATTGGACTGGCACTGCCCTAATCTCAGCAGTCTGGATAAGATAAAAACGGCAGAAAGAGGCTTGTGTCCCCATTTTGCTCTTGCTGCTTTTGCTGTCCATTACCCCAGCTGCCATAAACGGTTGCCTGTCTGCCATGTGCCTTGGAGCCAGCCGATTATGGACTGAAACCTGTATAAACCGTGAGCTAAATAAACCCTTCCTCCTCCAACATTGGTGTTGGGCGTTTTGTCTCAGCAGTGAGAAAGGTAACTAAGACATCACCCGTGCGAGCACCATCCTAAGTCACTGCGGCGGCATCTTTCCCTTTGCTGTGCAAAGGGATATGGGGTATCATGTGCATGCGCGTGTCCACACATAGGGGTTAGGGTTTGGGTTAGGGTGAGGGTGAGGGTGAGGGTTAGGGTTAGGGTGATGGTGAGGGTGAGGGTGAGGGTGAGGGTTAGGGTTTGGGTTAGGGTGAGGGTGAGGGTGAGGGTGAGGGTTAGGGTTTGGGTTAGGGTTAGGGTGAGGGTGAGGGTGAGGGTGAGGGTGAGGGTGAGGGTGATGGTTAGGGTTAGGTTTAGGGTTAGGGTGTGGGTTCGGGTTTGGGTTTGGGCTAGGATTAGGTTCTACACATAAGGGACCGGGCCAGCACATCTAGCTCTAGCTCTGCATCACCACTGTCCTTCCCAGGTTTCCTCTCTTGAGTATTTCTTCTTCTTGCAGGAGATTTAAGTATAACTCAAACTGAGTTCCTAGACTTGTGGGATGTCTACTGTTAAAGCAGTCATGTTGACTGAGATCAGGACCTGGACCCTGAAATGAGGACACACAAAGGCCATGAGGGAAGTCGCCACACTGCACCCCTCACTTCTTTTTTTGTTTTGGAATCAGCATTTTAACTTAGCTCCTCGTTCTTGCTATCCGGCACCGTGCCACTGAGCTATATTCCCAGCCCCTGAAACCCTATCTTCCTATAACCATTCTTTGCCAGTAGAAGTAGCTTCGCCACCCCAAGAGGCTTCTCCACTCCCCTCTGGGAGGATTACCCCTGCACTGGTTGAGGAAGCTGTGATCCCCTGACAGTTCGCCAAACAGTGCTGAGTCTCCTGAGGACCTTCCCATCCCCCTCTTTTTTTGCTTCCAGGCCTATAACCAGACTCAAGTCCCAGCAGCTCCTAAATGTAAAATACAAAGGATGGCCCATGAGGTGGTACAGTGTACCCCAAAAGAGTTACTAGAGAGTTCTAATGTACGCAGATAAAACCTGGGGAATATGTGTGGCAATAGTTGTGAAGGGTGTGATAACCACAGAAACTACAATTGGATCAGGCCTAAGTTAGTGGTACAGATAGGCCCATAAGCAGAGACATTGCACTTAGAGTTGCAGGTTAGAGAGCTGGTGCTCTGGGTGTGTGTTGGGGAAGCTGATGCATGGATGAAAGGGTCCCCACAATGGGTGGGTTAGGAAAGCCTGACCTGCTTTTGTTTTGAAAAGGAGCTGAGTTCAAAGGTTTAGGGAAATCAGTTTGTTAGAATGGACTTGTCTTTAAGATTTACCTGGAGGGAGCTGGGCATGGTGGCTCATGCCTATAATCCCAGCACTTGGGAGGCTGAGGCAGGAGGATTGTTGTGAGTTGGAGACTAGCCTGGGCTACAAAGTGAGCTCAAGTCAGCCTGAACTGCATAGCAAGACCCTGTCTCAAAAAGACAAAAAAAAAAAAAAAAAGACTTACCTGGAGGATCCAAAAGACACTTTTCAACATAACTATGAAAAACAAATTTGTAAGGAAGCTTCAAATACCTTCAACTTTCTTGAAGAGCTCTATGATCATTCTTTTCTATCACCCAGACCAATGGCTGGAACTACCACCTCTGACTGGGAACGCCAAATGCAATGGGAGCAATAAGATTCCAGTGCAGCAGGGACCAAGTGGCAGCACCCAGCCACCAAATACAAAATGAATGTGGTTGTTTGTTGGGAACAGCTGGAGCTGGAAATTGGTCATATGTGTGAGGGCAGGACAGAGCCAGAGTCCCTCCTGTAGTCAAGCTACGCCTCTTGAGAAAAGCATCCTGCCTGGACAATTTAGTCATTAGTTGCTAGGCAACCTTGCCTCTGGTGATAGTAACTTTGCAAGAGTATAAATAAACTCCCCTATTATTGTTGTTCAGGTCTTCTTACCCATCAGGTATAGCGGTCTCCTCCACCTGACCCAGCTACTTGTCTCTTGCCTATCTTTTCCTCATTCCCACCCCTGTAACAGAGTTGAACAATAATCGGAAGAGTCTGACTCTTGCACACAAATGGCGTTAGCTAGTGGAGTAGTGCTCCAGAAGTGGATGAGGCACGAGGCTTACTAAATTCTTATTTGATCTGTATCTGCAGAATAGTTTTAGGTCAGGTGAACAAAAGT